GTGAATTACATAAAACATAAGTGAAAGTACATCCACCTCAAAAGCTTGCATATGTCCATGAAGAATAGAATGAAAATACAACCTACAGGTTGGGAGAAATATTTTTAATTTACATATTCAATAAGGGCTCAATATGTGACGAACTAAAAAAAAAAATGTGCTATGGAAAAAAATCACTAAAAATCAGCAAAAGATCAGAACAGATATTTTCTAAAAGAAGACATATAGCTAGCCAGCACATCAATGAGAAAGATCCTCAACATCATTCATCATTAGAGAAATTCCAATCAAACCCACAAAGAGGTATTACCACATACCTGTTAGGATAGCTATTCTATCAGAGAAGCTGGAGGGGAAACCATAACTAGAATATACTGTATGAAAGCCACTGTTTCCCATAAATAAAAAACCAGAAAAAAAGTATCATTATCAGTCTTGAACAAATACAGGAATAAACATCTTCTGGCACACAATAAGCACCTTTTTAAAAGATGACAGAAAACTTTTTACACAGATGGGGAGAAGAAGGAACTCAGACACACTGGTGGTGGGAATGTAAATTGGTAAACCGTTATGATCAATAAGATGGAGGCCTATCATAAAACTAAATGTATAACCACTATGGGGCCAAACAATCTTCTTCTGAGTATATTCATAAAGAATATGCAGTCAGTACCCACTAGGGATAGATGTGTCTTATGTTCACAGTAGCATTATAAACAGGAGCCATGATATGCGCTATGTTAAATGTATGGCAGCTCATGAGTAGATACAAGCAGTTGTGCTGTGTATTGATTTATTTTAATGTACCTATTATGGGAATGTTACTATCTAAAAAAGGAGACCATATCATTTTCAGAAGGGATAAGCTATAGGTCATTGTGATGTTTAAAAATCTATATAGCAAAAGAAAATGCTGCATTGATCTCAATAACCTGTGGAATCTATAAAAGTCTAATATTAAAAAGTACTATAGAGTATTGATGATAAGAGTCCATGTATGGAATAGGAAATATAACTCAAAGGGAAGCACAAAGTTGCAGTTATAGAAGGTATGGGTGAATCTAGTTTCCTAATGTACTGTATGATGATTATAGTTAACAACACTGCTTTTTATAGTAGAAATTCGGGGAGTGTATTTCAAGTGTTCTTTCTCAAAGATAACTGCATAACAAGACACATTATTTTGCTGGATAGAGTAGTCATTTTACTAAGAAAATATACTGTACAATTTATTTATTTGTGTGTGTGTGTGTGTGTGTGTGTGTGTGTGTGTGTTCATAACAGTGCGTTTCACAGCGCAAATGTAAATGTCAGAACATAGCCTCAGGTGTTAGTCTCCACCTTCCACCTTGTCTGATGCTGTGTAAATGGTCCACTACCTTTCAGCATTCTGTTGCCTTCACTTCCCAGGCCCCAATAAGAGTGCTGGGATCATAGCCATGAGTTACTGTGCCTGACTTTCATATGGGTTCTGGGACTACAAACTGAAACTTAATAATTGCATAATATGTGTTTTAGCCACTGACACTGAGCACTTTAAGCCCCCACCTCCCCCCCCAAAAAAATTGTTCATCTCAAATATATGCAATGACTTCCGGAGGCATTAGCATCCCTGACTTCAAGATCTACTATAGAGCTATACTCCTGAAAATAGCTTGGTATTGGTGCAAAAATAGACAAGTAGACCAATGGAATCGAATTGAAAACATTGATATTAGCCTACACACCTATGAACACCTGATTTTTTAACAAAGCAGTTAAAATTATACAATAGAAAAAAGAATCTTCAATAAATGGTGCTGGCACAACTGGATGCTGGCATGTAGAATACTGCAGATAGATCCATATCGCCATGCACAAAACTTAAGTCCAAATGGATCAAGAACTCAGCATAAATCTAGCCACACTGAACTTCATAGAAGAGAAAGTGGGAGGTACCATTGGACAAATTAGTACAGGAAACTGCTTCCTGAACATAACACCAGTAGCACAGACACTGAGATCAATAATTAATAAATGGGACTTCCTGAAACTGAGAAGCTTCTGCAAGGTGAAGGACACAGTCAACAAGGCAAAATGGCAGCCCACAGAATGGGAAAAGATATTCACCAACACCACATCTGACAGAGGGCTATTTTCCAAAATATACAAAGACCAAATAATTCAATTAAAAAGGGGGGTACAGAACTAGAGAATTCTCAATAGAGGAATCTAAAATGGCTGAAAGACACTTAAGAAAGTGCTCAACATCCTTAGCCATCAAGGGAATGCATTTCAAAACAACTCTGAGATATCATCTTACTCCTGTCAGAATGGCTAAAATAAAAAAAAAAAAAAAACAATGACAGTTTATGATGGAAAGGATGTGAAGAAAGGGGAACTTTCTTCCATTGTTAGTTGTAGTGCAAACTCATACAGCCACTTTGAAAATCAGTATGGTGGTTCCTCAGGAAAATAAGAATCAGTCTATCACAAAATCCAGCAATTACACTCTTAGGCATATCCCCAAAAGATGCACATTCATGCAACAAGCACATCTGTTCAACTATGTTCATAGCAACATTATTTGTAACAGCCAGAACCTAGAAGCAACCTAAATGTCCCTCAACTGAAGAATTGATAAAGAAAATGTGGTACATTTACACAATGGAGTATTACTTAGCAGAAAAAAAATGGGATCTTGAAATTCACAGACAAATAGATGGAACTAGATGAAACTATCCTGAGTGAGGTAACCCGGTCACAAAAAGATTAACATTGTATATACTCACTCATATTGGATTTTAGACACAGAGCAAAGGATCACCAGCCTACAATCCACACCACCAGAGAAGCTAGGAAACAAGGGCGACCCTAAGAGAGACATACAGGGTCCCTCAAAGAAGGGGAAAGGGACAAGATCTCCTGAGCACATTGTGAGCAGGCAGGGTGGGGTGAGATAAGAAGTTAGGAGAAAGAGAAGGGGAGAAGAGGAAGGAAGAGAAGAACATGAGGGGGCAGTAAAATTGAGTCAGAGGAAGAATAGAAAAGAACAAGAAATGAGATAGCACAATAGAGGGGGGCCATTATAGGTTTTTAAAAAAATGCCACACTAGGGGAATGTTCAGATACCTACAAGGATGACCCCAACTCACAATCTAAGGAACATTGGTGAAGCTATCTTAAATGCCCTTCCCCGATAATGAGATGGATGACTATCTTATATGCCATCCTAGAGCCCTCATCAGTAGCTGATGGAAGCAGAAGCAGAGACCCACAGCTAAACACTGAGCCAAACTTCTGGAATACAGTTACAGAGAGGGAGAAATGATGAGCAAAAGGGTCAAGACCAGACTGGAGAAACCCACAGAAACAGCTGACATGAACAAAGCAGAGCTCATGGACCACAGACTGATAGCTGTGACACCAGCATAAGACCTACCCAGAACCCCTTGAACATGTGTCTCCGTTAGGCGGCCTGAGAAGTCTATGGTACCTCTGACAATGGAACCAGGATGTATCCCTAGTGCAAGAAGAAACTTCAGGAGCCCATTCCCCATGAAGGGATACTCCCTTAGCCTAGAGACACAGTGGAGGGCCTAGGTCCTACCTCAAATGATTCAACTGACTTTGATTATCCTTCACTGAAGGCCTCAGCCTCCCTGGGGAGTGGATGGGGGATTGGGAATGGGAAGGGGCATTATAGGGGCATGGGATGATGGAGGGTAGAGGTAATTGTGATCAATCTGTTAAACAAGAAAATAATATTAAAAAAAAGAAAACAGTAACCATGATATTTGCATATCATAATTTATATCATTTTATAATTATTCTTTCTTAGTCATTTAAATGTTTCTTTTCTATTGTGGAAGATTTCTCTTTTCTATGGTCCTTTTAAATATTTGTTTAATATCCCTTATTTACAATATTCCATTGATTACTTAGTGATTCACCTGTGGAAGGACTTGGATCATGCTTCACTTTGTGTAGAAAGACAGTAATATATAATGAATACAATGTTTTCAGATGTTTTCTCTTAAACATTTCTAACATTTTTCCCTTTATAATAAAGGGATGTTAATTATTGATGATTATTTTAAGAATTTGTCTCACACTAAAGTCGTTAAAAATGAAGTCAGAAAAATTTCTTTGTACTTGGACACAAAACATCATCTACAAGTTGAATTGTATATGATAACATCTGGGTATGGGACAGACTGAGTCAGTGCATAAGGAAACTCGGGGAGCTCTTGGCAATGACCATAGAAGAGAATCCAGATAAAACCATACCTATCATTATTGGGCAAGAAAACCCTTCATGTTTGCACTAATATACACTGAAGTGTATGTGTGAGGTATAATGCTTGTGAGGAAAGACATTTCACTAGAATAGTTTAGACATTTTACTAAAGAAATCAACCAAGAAGTTAGTATAGAACAAAGAAAACAAGGAACATAAAGGAACAGAAACTACTACCTATACTTAATACAGTAGATGATTTTAAATGGTCTGTTTTCAACCAAAAACATGAGATATTAAGTAAATAAAGGTAAAATTAATAAAATCTTGCTTTTAGGTCTCTTGATGTTGTATTTGACAGGCAGACACTTAAGAAACCTATTTTTAAATATGTTCAATAAAAGAAAGGGAATTTCAAAGGAGAGCATTAATTCAATGTCTCATCAAGTACCAAATGCTAATAAAATGAAAGACTTTCTGGTAAAAGACCTCATGGGAAATTTGCAGTTAAAAGGTCTAAAAATCAAAATAGAACCTTGGTAAGATAGACTCAAAACTTAGAGTTAATCTGGGAGAAAAAAAGTATTTGGAATATTAATAATGATGATGATAATAAAATAACCACATTACATTATATAAAAAAGTATTTGGAATAATAATAGCAGCAAGAAATAGTAATAAATCTGAGGGACAGTAAAGAAATGAGATGAAGAACAATAAATCAAGCTTTACAACGAATCTGAGACACATACAAGGACACTAGTTAGATTCTTTTTTTTTTTTTTTCAGTTTGCCAAGCTGTGACTGTTTATTAACTGACCAGATTACAAAAATACCACAGGCACCTTAGTTCATCCGTCTAATAAGCCTGTTTATCTGGTCTTCCCTGTTGCCAGCATCGCCACCTTCCACAAAGTGAGTGGTCTTTTTCTTCATCCCGCCCTGTAGAGAAGACAGTTTGAAGGGCCACAGGAAGTTGTTGGCTTCCTTGAAGCGTTTCCCCACTGTGTAGATCTCATGGATCAGATCCTCCATGCAGATAATGCCATATTTACCAAGAGATTGAGCAATCAAGGAATTGTCCATCAAGGCAATTCTCTTCTTATTGATTTTGCCATAGCCACGCTTGTAGATGAGCTCATTTACTGACTTCAGGTTGGGGTACCCCCATGCGATGTATGGTTCCACGATCCTCAGCATGTTAATCGAAGCCTTGTTGAGCTTAACAAAAGTGCCAATGAAAATCTGACGAAGATGGAGCAGCTGCAACACCTTGCGGACCTTTGGGCTCACACCATTGATACCTTGGATTCGGATGACGGATGACAGCTTGGGTTCTGCAGGCATGTAGAAGTTTCCAGCTTTCCTTGCCATCCTAGCCATGCGAATCTCCGTCCGGTACATCTGCCTGTTTTCTTTGTGATAATGCTTTGCCTTTTCATAGATGAGCTTCCTCCGGGCCTTCCGGAGCGTCTTCAGTGCAAACATTTTCCGGAAGCGCTTCACCTTCAGTTCCGCGTTTTCTTCTCCCAGCACGGCCTCCATGGCTCCTTCCAGTGTGGGGGGGGGGTGGATGAGAGAGCCACTAGTTAGATTCTTTAAGGGTAGAGCCAGAGAGAGAGAGGACATAGAAAAATAGACAGAACAGAATTAAGAAGTAATTCCTGAAAATGTCTCAAGTTTAATGAAAAATACCAGAATCACAAACTCAAAAAATTCTATGTAAGATAAACACAAAGAAATTTGTATTCAGGTGTATCAAAGTCAAAAGACTAGAATTCAGATAAAGGAAAAAAAATGAAAGCACCAAGAAAAAAAATAACACAGCATGTGTAACATGACCACAATATTATTAATAAGTATGTTCTTTGCAGTACTAGAGATTGAACCTGGAGCCTCATACATGGTGGGGAATTTCTTCATCACTGGAAAACAACTATCCCAATAAAAAACAATGTTGTTCAAAGGAAAATGTGGTGGTATACTCAAAGTGGTTAATCAAAGAACAGTCAAACACAGATTTAAGAACAGCCATGTTTTATGAGTGTGTATAGGTGCATGTGTGCACACCCATGTGTGTGTTTGTGTGTGTGTGTGTGTGTGTGTGTGTGCACGCGTAAGCCAGAGGTCAACCTCATGTGTCATTCCTCAGGATCCATCCACCAAGATATTTTTGCAGCAGGATCTCTCACTGTGACTCAGGGATCATCAAGCATGCTGGGTAGGCTGGTCAGTAAGGTCTAATGATCTGCCTGTTTCTGTATGCCCAGTTCTTCAATTAGGAACTGTGATAGTAAAATTGATACTGGTCCCCAAAGGCTTATGTGTTGAATACTTTGTCCCTAGTGGAATTATTATGGAAGTTTAGGAGGTGTGGCCTTGTTGGAGAAGGTATGTCATGGGAGCAGGCCATTTCAAAAGACTAGTACCATTCCCGGTGTTCTTTCTGATTCCTGTTTGGGAATGGGGAAGTGAGTTTTCAGCTGCTGCTCCAGCACCGTGCCATGCCATGTCATGCCTGTCTGCCAACATGATCTCTGCTATGATGGTAATAGACTTCCATCCCTCTGGAAGTATAAGCCCCAAATAAACGCTTCTTTCTATAAGTTGCCTCCATCATGGTGTTTTATCATAGCAATAGAAAAGCAACTAATACAGATATTGGTACCAGGGAGTGGGCTATTGCTGTGACAGACCTGACCATGGGTTTTTTTGTTTGTTTTGTTGGCAGGATGTGGAAGGGTTTGTACGTTTGCGCTAGGAAAGCAGTCGAATTCTATAAACAGAGTTTAACAGATCATTGTAGTAGGATTTTGTAAGACATTAATGCTGAAAGTTATTAGTCAGTGGAAGCCCAATTCAAGAGACTACAGAGAACAGTATTAGCAAGTGGACGATTGTGATACTTTCACAAAGAATGTAGCTGCCCTCTGCCTGAGGCTAAATTTAAAAGCAATGGATTAATTTATTTGGTAGAAGAGATTCCAAAACAGCCTAACATTGACTCTGTCATATACTTACTTGTAATCACCCTTACATTGAATTAGACTAAGGGAGATGTACCTTGGAAAAAACACGTCCCAGTTAAGCTTCCAATTTTATTTAAAAGAAAAGGTCTAATAAATATTATTCTCTTAAAAGCAACAATCAATGAAATCTGCTTCAAATGTGATGAAAAGGGATCATGGTTCACCCCACGTAGGCAGGAGAACTTGACAGTGTTGTGTATGTGGTTTTGGATTTAGAGTTACAAAAAACATACAAGCAAAGGGGTTGTGGAACATTCCTTCATGATCAAGGAGAGTCATTGAGGCCAGTAAATGTGCATCAAGGCACCCTGAAAAACCATTGTGTGAAGCTCTGAAAGTAAAGTTTGTAATGTGTCGGAGACTCCAAGTTGTTAGAGATCCAAGATCCTTGGGGTATCTGCTAAGGAGAGCGGCACATAGTGATTATAAAGGGTACAAGAAAAACAAATGTGCTGAAGGCAGAAAAACTGGAAAAGCAAAGTCATCAAGTCCTTTCACCTCTGTTACAGAGTATGTTTTTGCTACCGTCCTGGATCCACAGCAGTGCCAGCCCCAAATAACACACAGAGACATTATATTTGATATAATTCTGTTGCCCAGGTACTAATTTCTTATTGGCTAGCACTGTCTTAATTATTAACCCATTTCTATTAATCTAAGTATTTGCACGTGGTCTCATCTTACCCGAGAGTGGGCCCGGACCTCTGTTAGCTCCAGTCTCTACATGCTGACCCCTCCCTACTACTTCCTTGAGTCCTCCTTGTCTCCTAGTCCCGCCTATCTTGCTTTCCTATTGGCCAACAGTGCTTTATTCATTAACCAGTATGAGAAACATATTTACAGAATGACATTTCCCATCATCTCAGAATCTCCCTAACTTCAACTGACAAATTATGGGCCCAAGACTTAGATCCAGACACAGGTGACCCATCCACGTCTTCTACCATCAGGCAAAAGAATCAAACGGCCATGGAGGAAGCTTCCACTTTAACAACAGACTTGGTCCTCCAACCAACCGACAGACGGAAGCTAATGGCCTCCTCAGACCTCAGACACGGAGTTATAGAATTTCCATTCATCCTTATACCCACAGATAAGCATAGATTCACTACTCATCAAATAAACTTGTCTTTGCAACAGATGGAGACAGTTACAGAAAACCACAACTGGACCAGGTGAAGAGAACAACTGATTGAGGGCTGTCCTGCTTCAGTTGATATGTATACAATTTCTGCACTTAATGCTCAGGGGAACAAACATTATGGAAGAGTAAGTGGAAAGATTATAAGAGCTATAGTACCAGGAAAGTTATAGTGTGATTGTGTCTCTTTTAGAAATGACAGGGAAGCCTAAGACACATGATACCTCCACATTATGGCTGCCTATACAATATCTGAAGAAGACAACAAAGGACATGCTGTCATGGAAGGAGAGAATCCCCTGCCACACTAATATACAAAAGAACTGCAGGAAACTAAGGAGTGCTAAAAGCAGGAGAGCTTGTCTTCTCCAAAGATAAGCCTCACTAACTGGTTATCTAATACTAAATGGCCAATGTGTGCACATACACATGTGTGTGTGTATACATATGTGTATGTGTGTAATACTAAAGAAACTGAGCAAGTTGTATTGTATGTGAGAGAGTTGTAGGTGTGTATGTGAGGGGAGTGGGGCCAGTTAAAAGGAGGAAAGGGATAGGGAAAATGATGTAATTACATTTTAATTTTAAAAACTAAAGAATACAAGCTATTTTTTTCAGTGTACCAATGTTTATTTCCTCAAAAGTCAGGAAGAACTTACAATGGGAACCAGAAGTTACCCCATGTCATGGTGGCTTTCTCCTTTACCTCACACTCAGCAAAACCCCAGCCCCCCCTTTTTTCTTTTTTATTTAAATTTTAAACAAGGTTATTTTACATGTCAATCCCAGTTCCCTTACCCTTCTGTCCTCCACTGTTTTCCCACCAACCCCCATCCCATCCCCTTTCTGCTCTTCAGGGAGGGTGAGTCCTTCCATGAGGAGTTTTCAAAGTCTGTCATATCATTGGGAGCAGGGCCCAGGCCCTCCCCCATGTTTCTAGGCTGAGGGAGTATCCCTCTATATAGTAATACAAATATTTTTAAAATATTTAAAAATACTGGTCAAGTAAACCAGGTTATGAGGTGCCATGTGGATTTGGGTAACTCAGAACTTGGTATTTTTGAAGGGCAGTCAGTGTTCAAAATTGCTGAGCCATCTTTCCAGCCCACAAAACTGAAAATTTACGCCTACCCAAAATATGTGTTCATGAATGTTCATGACAGCACCATTCATAACATCACAAAGAGGAAACACAATGTTTATCAATCAAGGACAAGATAAGCAAGATTTTGAGATACAGAACTAACTTATTCTACATCATGAAAGAAACTTGAAAACATACACTTACAGAATGAAAGAAGTTAACCACAAAAGATTACATTTGTAGAAACTGTAGAGTTTGGGCATGTGTACAAAGATTAAAGTTGATTAGTGGTTGATTAAGGTTAGAGGAGACACAAGGGAACAGGGAGTGACTGTCACTGGATACAGTATGATTTTTTTGAGGATGGTGAAAATATCCAAACTTAGATTTAGTTGATGATTGCACATGTCAAAGAATATTTAACAAATGTTGATATATATATTTTAAAAGGATAAATTTTGAAGTATTCTAATAATATTTTTACAAAGCTTTTAAGCTAAATATTGAAGTGTTTTCATATACACAGGTAGATTTGGAACTAGAGAAAATCCTTCATATAATTAAACATGTATTATTATTATTTAAAGTATTTTAATAATTTTAAGTGTATGAGTGTTTTGCTTGTTTATATGTCTGTGCACTATTTGCCCACAGAGGTCAAATGTCATTGGATTGCCTAAAATAAGAATTAGAGCCAGTTGTGAGCTGCCATGTGAGTCCTAGGATCTGAACCCAAGTTCTGAGGAAGGGCAGCTAGTGCACTTTAGTACTGAGCCATCTCACTAGATCTTCTGCATGTATTTTGGTCACTGAAGTTAACAAAAATGAGAGTTATAGGGACCTCTGACATTGGAACCAGGATATATCCCTGGTGCACAAAAGGACTTTGGGATCACATTCCCCATGGAGGGATACTCCCTTAACCTAGGGGCAGGAGGGAGGGCCTAGTCCCTACTCCAAATGATTTGACAGATTTTGTTGACCCCTTCTGGAAGGCATCACCCTGTATGTGGAGTGGGGGAAGGGATGGGAAGAGAGGGTGGTCAGGGAGGCATGGGAGGGAGGAAGAGAGGGAGGAAGGGAAGGAGGGAGTAGGAATTGCGTTCGATATGTAAAATAAGAAAATAAATAAAGGTGCCAGAAGAACAATGACCATGCATACACCACTGTACACCAGACTCCCAGACTTCTAAAACAGGGGACTAATGACACTGCTCAGAGATTTGATATGAAAGAATCTCTGTGAATCTTTAAGTATGATACTAGCATAAAGTTGCTGGAAGCATGCAGG